AGCTATATATAGGGCCTAGTCCTGGCTGGGGGCAGAAGCAGCCTGGGCCCCCGCAGAGGCACCAGGATCCAGGAGGCTGTGGGTAACAGGGCCACTGTTAGATCAACTTCCCTCGCTCATTTTCCAAAAGCGACCCCATCCCATCCGAGGCACCTCCGGGGCTCCTCAGGTGGGTCTTGGCCTTCGGATCTATCTTAGGTCCCCTCTCTTTCTCTAGGTTCACCCAGAGGTTGTGCTGAGAGGCAGGAATAGTGCAGAAGAGGCAGGAAGTTGTGGTACGGAATTTGGACACAGGATGGGAGGCAGGAACCAGAAAGGTAGATTTAACTTGAGACAGGGAGGTGGCATCTGGAGTGGAGGAAACTCGGTCCTCCACTCTGTCTGATCCTGTACAAGCGGTCAGCCCTCCCTGCTGAGCCCCGGAATGTTTAGTGCCCGACTTGGCGATGCGCAGCGGTGGCTTCAGGGTATCATGTTCGCAGGGCTTTGAGAAGGGGGAGCCCAGGGTATCTCAAAAGGAAGCAGAAAGCCTGGGCCAAAGAAGTGGAAGCACGAAAAAGCAGAGAATCTGAGTCCAACCCAGCCGCAAGGCCAGCGCTGGGACTGGGAACCTGGGAGACAGAGAAGCGGATCTGAAAACTCGAGGTCAGGGGGGCAGGGAAGAGGGCTGAGTTCGCAGGTGGAGGTGGGGTCAGGGAGGAAGCGGTGATGTGGGCCTCCCGCAGCCCCAGGACAGGCCACGGGCGGCTGGCAGTCCTGCCTCCCGAGTGCATTTTCGCACGTGGTCGCGATCTTTGGCGCGCTCTGGCGCCCCCTCGCAGGAGTGCGACGGGCTTTCGCTTCCCTAGACCTGAACCTGGGACACCAGTCCCCCGATAGCCCTGGGCAACTTGATTTGCAGTCCTGCCCCCCTCCTAAGCTCCCTTGCTGTGCAACAGGCACTAATGAACAAAAGACCAATTAGAAGCTGTGGCGCGGCTGATGAATGAAACTTTCGCTTTCCAGCGTGGAACCGCCTCAGGTCTGGGCGCTCAGAGAGGGTCGAGCTTAGAGAAGCTGCCTCTCTGAGCCGGGTCACGGCTGGAGTTAGGGGGTTCTCAAAACTCCCACTTCCCCCTCGCTACGGAGCTAGTTGGAGGAAATAAATCAGGGAGCCGAGCCGCCCACGCAGCCCGCAGCTCCGCGTCCGGGTTGGGGGCTGGGGAGGGGGTGGGAAAGGGTGGTAAAGGCTGTAGGCCCGCATCCACTGCCCGCCTGCCGCTGCTCGGAGGCAGCACCTAAATAAATCAAGCGCTGGATTTGCGGAAGAAGGAAGGCAGGTCTAGAAAAACGCACATTTACAAAAATGGTTGCTGTCTGCCAAACTCCAGAGTTGGTGATGTGCTTTGGGAATATCCCAACCCAGGTCTGCTCACCAGGCTCTGCTCCCCACCCCCACCCCCCCCACACACACATCATACACAATCCCCTAGATTCCCAAACGCACAAATGCCGCCCTGGTACTGGGCGCGGTCGCTCATCACAGGAGCCCTTTACCCAAACACGGATAAACGTCCCCTCAAATCTCACACACCCATAGGTCCGGTCCTCTGAGATGCACTGCTTCAGTAGAATGCAGACACAGGGTAAGACCAAACCCAATACTTCGCAGGTCCACCCCTTTCTAGGAACCCTGAAGCCCTACAATTGTAAGCTCCTGCCCTACCTCAAAAGGCTTTAGATAGCAAGGGAAGACTGATGTCTCGTCACAATCGCGCAATCTGCCCAAGTAGCACCAGCCTCTGAGGCCTCTAACTCAATCAACACCGCGCAAACTGACCGAAGTCCTAAGGGAGACTCGCAATTGCACTGCCACACAAACACAGCTGTATCACGTAGGAGGACGCCCATCTCTGCAAACACAATCACAGACCTTCACCCTAACTCACCCTTGCACAGACTTGCAACTGCCCACATGTGGGAAGCCCGGCTCGTACCCCCCACCGCAGAGCGGAGCGCGGCCCCAGGCCAGGCCTCCGAAGCGCCAGAGTCCCTCCCTAACCAGCCAGCGCGTCCAAGACTTTGTTTTCTGCGACTCTAGGCGGGGACTGGGAGGAGCCGAGATTTCCAAAGCGGCGCGCAGGCCCGAGCCCCCTTTCTGCCTGGCCCGCTTGGCGCGCCACTCTGGCTGCCACAATCCGCCCCTCGCACAAAAGTGGCCCGGCAGGTTCCCGGCCGGCCGTGGCCAACGCGCCCGCTCCAGCTGGGCTTGGCTTCCACGAGCAGAGTCCCAAGGAGCTGGGGGTACCAAACACCCGAAATGAGAGCTGGAAAGCGGAACTGTCGGAGGTCTACCACCCCAGAAGTTTCTGGCACCTTCGCTGGGGAACAGGTTCAAAGCGAGAAACGCACACCGAACCCACGCGGAAGTCGCAGGAGGGCGGAGCCGGGCTCACTTGGCTTTGTACATTCAGTTGACCCGCTGGGGCAACGCAACCCCAAAACCCGTGTCTCCTGCACAACCACTTGGCACAGGGCATGCACAGACAACCAAGAAAACGGGACATGGATCAAATTCGTAACCTACATTCCCTTGTGAGGTCACAGGCAGGACACATGGCAACATGCCTACAGTTGGCTGGGTACAGAGAGGAACGCAGGGCCTGGCCCACTACGCCCATAGTGCCCTGCCCACGGACACCCAGGCCTAACACCTATGTAACACGAGGGGGCACACGGCTGGCATACACCCGTGCCCAGAGGGCTCCGGCTCTGCACTCGCGCACTCAGGGGACGCAACCTGAGCACGCGCGCCCCGCGTACCCTACCGGCGCCCCACACCCAGATAGTCATCGTGGGATGGCATCTCGCAAATATTTATATTCCTCGGCACCACGGCAGCCCGCGTCCACATTAGACGCTCTAATCCTGCCACTTTAAATAGATGAATTAATAAAGCAAACGAGCGGCTAATAAGCTGACTGTCCTGCCTTTTTGAGGCGGGGGAAGGACTCGAAAGTGCGCCAAATTTGTTTGCAGTGGATCAAGGCTAGCCGCCTCTGCTTCACTTTCTTTATCTTAATTCCGACTTGAAAAGATATAATTATCTAGTTTGAACAGAGCTGCTATCAAATCCTTCTTTGGGCCGGGAAGGGGGGCGTTGGAGTGGATTGCGGCTCTCTGAGCCGCTCCGTGCAGCCGGAGATAGCGCGTAATGAAGATGTGGAGGCCGGAGATACAAAGGGCATTAACCTCATTAGCATGAAACCTTTTCTTCTTACCATTGTGGGACCCTTTCAGCCGCCTAATCCCCCCTATTTTCAAAGCTTGGTTTGTAATAAAGCTTTTAGTTTTTTTTCCCTCAAAGCTAATAGTATTCTCTGATGATTTTACTGCTGTTACACTTCATAGGGCATTTACCAAAAAAACTCTCCGCCAACCCCCTTTTCTTGTACTTAAAAAATTAAGTGTATGGTTTCTGCAGAAATTAAGTTTTTAACAAGATGGATCCTGTTTTTCCCGGAAAAGCCAGTCTAAACTTTACCACGAACGTGCTCCGTGGTGGAAGTATTCCATGTTTTAGAAGATAGAATGAAAAAAAGTGGCTTGTGCTTTGGGAACCACGACCATCAAGTCACTGGAGAGCTCTGGGCAGTTAAGAGTGAAATTCCTGCTGCCCAAGCAGCCAAAAGCCCCATACAGGTCTCAGGTATATCCTGGCCCGGTGGCACCTGTCCCCATATGAGGCAACCAGGAAGTCACCCTGCCATACCCACAACACACATTTTGCAGGAGGGGTTTGTGTAAAAATGTGCTATGAGTAGCCAGGTCTACAGAGGGACAGAGCAGAAAGGAGGGAGAGAGAGAGAAACAGAAAGAGAGAGAGAGAGAGAGAGAGAAGATAGAAGAACAATTTCTGCTTTAGAGGAGGGAAAGAAAAACAGAAAGAAAAAATTTCCATAGTGCCCTATAGTCCCCACACGTGCACAGAATTTCTAATCTTAACTTTTCAAGGCAAGATGTTAACAAAGCTTGTATTTTTGCCCTGCATTGTAACTTGGCCTTATCACAGTGTAAAGGGTGGGGAGATTGTCCTAAATTATGTCCAGGCAGCCCCCCTGGATCCATGGATTAAGAGATTAAAGGAGACCACTGGGCAAGGCCTCCTCTTTCCCCTTCATATTCCTGGTATGATAATTGCTTAAACTGATTTGCACTTTCACAAAAGCTCGCAGGACGCTTTGTAGCTCGAACAGAACAGACGAGGTTTCTCTATCAATGGAAATAAAACTGATTAATGCAGCCTATCAGGATAAGAAGCAAATGAAGCATGCAAAAACAACCTCATACCCCCAGAAACGGGAAGGAGGGAGGGGAAAAAAACTAAGTTTCCTCCAAGAATGGTTACAACTTTTTCTTTAATGTTAAAATTAAGACTTGAAGCTTTCTCAGAAAGCCTGCCTTATAAGGCTCCTGAGGCCTTTAGGTTCATCCTACTACCTTTGGCAGATTGGTGCAGGAAAAAAGAAAAGAAGAGAAGGAAGGAAGGAAGGAAGGAAGGAAGGAAGGAAGGAAGGAAGGAAAGAAGGGAAAAATGGGGGCAGGAAGATTTGTGCTTAAGGGGTTTGAAGTCAGAAATAAAGTTTAGAGACCCCACAATCCTGATTATTTTCCCCTATGCTGGAAGAATATTCTTCAATTCAAAACTTATATCTAAATTTTTTAAAGCAGAGGTAAAGAGAAGTAAGCATTTTAAACTTAAAGTCAAACTAAGCTCCTCTAGTACATCACCCAACCATCAGGCAAAGGTCTGCTCAGACAATTTTTCTCCCATCTCTTTTCTGAAAGACTTTAGATTGTAATCTCACTTCCCCACTCTGTCTCTCTTTAAAATGTGCCCCCCCCCCCATCATTCCGGCCCTTTTGTGAGTGAGGGGCCAGGGCTTCTTGAGTCTAGTTGAGGTCAAATTATAGAGATGCTTTTTTAAAAGATCCACTTCAATTTCCCAAGACAACTACTCTGAGGGCATACTGATAAATCTTTATTGACAAAATATTGACATTGACATACTTCTTGGAAGTATATAGGGTGTTAGAATTCTAACAAATTAACACAAAACACAAAAATATTTACATTCTGGTATAGAAGACATTAAGGAAGCATTTGTCATTCTCTTTAGTACATCTATGGTCTTGGAAGAGAAACTCAGTGCTTGAAAACTTGCCGCACGTCCTTGGTCACACTAACATCATCCCCACTAACTACAGTCCTTCAGTTTCTGCAACAGATAGATTTAAGGTTTTGAGTGGTCATTACTGGGAATGGTTGAACTCAGCCAATTTCTCCAACCACTGAAAGGAGTTAACTTCTTACTGTTAAGCCTCAGAATGTTAGGGAAGGGAATGTCCAGGAATATAATCAATCAATAAGGACTTTTTTTTTTTTTAGTGTATGTCCTGATTCTTTTAAAGGGCACCCTCCCTAGCCACCCTCATTCCCATCCTGCTCCCCGTTTCTCTGCAAGAGGACCACTATCGCCTACTTCATTTAGCGTTCACAATCACTTTGACATCAGAAGGTATCAAAAAGTGTTTACAGACTGCACGTTTCTCAGAGAAATTAAAATAAAAAGCACACAGATCCTGTCTTTAAAAGGAAGATAGAAGTACAATTCATTTTGTCTTTAGACACCATTCGCCCAACAACTGCTACATGCAATTCAAGTTTTTGAAATAGGTGTGGGATGGGGCTAGTTTTGGAATTTTGCTTGTTATTACTAATTATTTTTAAAGATTGGGGGAAACACTATGCAGTGCAAAATTAAAAGTCCTGTGCCCAGTTGAGATTTTTGTTCTTAAATCAGTATTTTCACCATTTGTAAAAGTGGACTACGACAAACAGAATTTCTGCCAACCATCTCGTCTCCCTGGTTTGGCATGGACTCATAGCTCCCCTGGTCAGAGTGTGCTCAGCTTGGCCACATCCAGCGCTCTTGGTGCTCTCCCGCTCTCTCTCCTCACTCATTCTCTTTCTCCCTTTCTCATGCTCCCTCCCTCTCTTCCTCACTCACTCGCTCACTCACTCAGCTGCCTCTTTAGAGGAGGGCTGCAAGCTGATGAAGGAGCCTCCATTCTCTGCCATCGGTGCCTTCTCCGAAACGGACCCAGCGCCCTTGCTGTTCAGTCTGCGACGCACTGTTGCTCTCTCGCTCTCTCTCAATCTCTCTCTCTGATGCCCTCTCTTTCCCGGTGAATGTGTGTGCAGTTTATTTTTTATTTGTAGGGTTTCTCCTTCTTCCCCTCCTCTCCCTGTCTCTGTTTTGTTCCATGTTGTCCGCTTCTGTGGGGTTAAGTCTGTCTTTTTAATCGTCTGAGGTCACATCTATTTCCTCCGGACTCGCCTGCTTCGTGGCGATTCTCCACCGGTTGATGTGGTGTGTCCCTTTTTTCTTTTGTTGTGTGTCCGAGCCTTCTTCTTCCAGCTTCTGCCTTTTGAACTTAGTCCTCCGGTTCTGAAACCACACTTTTACCTGCAGGCAGAAGCAGATGGCCCCCATTAGGTCCTTCACAGCACCCTCCTAGGAAGGTCAGGTTCCTTCCACTGCCCAGACCTCAGTCCCAGACCTGAGGGTCACCACCCCTGGCCACCCATCCAGGAGCAGAACTCCTAGTCCTGAGGGTAGGAAGTTCAGATCTCTGGCTTTCTGAATCCTTTCGGTAAGACTTTCCCCAGAGCCCCAGGGTCCATGGTGCACTGAACACCCTTCTCTCCTGTCCCTGTCTAGAGCACCCACATCCTTATAAAATAATAAATAAGGGAAAATAAAAAAGAGACCTGTCCCTAACTCCTCTCCAGCAAGCCAGCAAAAGAAAGACGTGGTTTGCACTACCACAGCTCCCATAGGGCCCAATATGCTTTCTATTTTCTGCCGGTCTGGCATGGCCTAAATATAGTGGCTCCTCTGCAAGGCAGCAAGGCCTTGGGTAGACCCTCCAGGTTTGCTGAGCTGCTGCCTCCACCAAGGGGAACTCTTGCAGGTGAGCAGGGAAGGTGTGGAGCTGGAGGAAACCAAAGGGACAGAGGGGCACAAGCCTCAGATGCAACCCAGCTGTACCTTTCTAGCTAGGAAAGGTGTTCCTAAGTGAAAGGTGTTCAAAAGTGAAAACTTCCAGAAGACCATGGGATAGAGAAGAGGAGAAACTGAAAAAAAAGAGAAAGAGGAGGGGAGAGAGAGAGAGAGAGAGAGAGAGAGAGAGAGAGAGCTTCCTTTCCACTGTCCAGCCCCAGTATAGGACAGGGCTAGTCTCAGACCGGGTCATACCACTTCCCAGCAAAGCAAGGCTGGCAGCCTGGTCTCCCCAGGGTGGTTGCTAGAGATTCACAGAGCAATGAAGTTGGAGTCAGCTGTGAATTGATGGCCCTCTGGGGAACCTGGGTGGTGGGTCCCCACTCCACAAGACCAAGATTAACAGTGTCCTGGCCTCTAGTAGGGAGTAATGGGTGGGAAAAACTGGCAGTGCGTGTGCTTTCCACATCCCAGCAAACCTATCCCAAGAGTAGCACCCTGGCCCAGTCCAAGTCCCTGGGCCCCGGAGGTCTCTAACCACTCCTTTCTTTAAGTCTTCCCTTCCGACTTGCTCTCCCCCAATGCCCTAGTCCCCCAAAGTGCCCCGTGAAAAAGCTGAGCGGGAACAAGGCCGAGTGTAATTTGCTTTGAGTTTGCTAATTGAGGAGGAGGACGGTTCATTTCTCTCCCTGCGCTCGCCCAAGGCGTGCGTCAGTGCGTTCGGGGCTTGACATTCACACAAAGACTACAGGCAGCTTGGGTAGCCAGGCGGACAAAGACCACCTCCGCCTGGGCTGTCCACGGGAAATCAGCCGGGCCGTGCCTTGTGCCCGCCCGGGACAAACCCGCGAGGCTCTCCTTGATTTTCATGTGAGGACGAAGGAGGGGGGTCTGGTTTTTTTTTTTTTTTTTTTTTTTAAAGCCTTGACCTCTTTGGGTTTCCCAGAGAAAGTGCTACAATTTAATCTGCTCCAGAATGCTACAGTTTAATGGGAACTTTGACCCACCTTTCCGCTGTGGTACAGTAGCACCTACTGTAGCTCAAACCCCTCTTCACACCCTGGGATGAGCTAAGCCAGGCCTGCTTCAGGACTCCCTATCAGCAGGGCCTAGGCCCTCTGAGCTAGGCACTCTGTGCAGCCTCCCAGCTTTATTTCCCTGATTCCAAGGGGACATGCAGCAGCCTAGTCTCCAGCTTCAGACTCTCCCATCCCTTTAAAAGGAGTAATGGGCCCCGGCTGGGAGCCCAGTGGCCTACAGTTGCTCAGAGTTCACCCATAATCCAGTCTACACTGTCCAAGCTCCAGCTCAAAGAACTGGGACACCTCACTGCACTTCCTCTCATCCTGGATCCAAGTAGTGAACCCAAGACTCTCACCAAAATTTTCACCAACATTGCAGAGGAGTGTATGTGTATGTTAGCCGGGATCTGTGAGACCTGACTGCTGCATACAGAAGCAAGTCAGCTCTGTCACTGAAGAACTCTGGGAGGATCTACTCACACAGTCCCTGCTGGAGCTCTGCAAAGCTGGGCACCTGGAAAGTTGCAAGTCCCGAGCCCCGGAGTGAAACTAGCTTTCCCAGAGCGCCACACTGGTGCGGGTGCTAGGTTCCCGGATCTGGAGACCAAGGGCTGCACTCACCTGAGTTTCCGTAAGGCTGAGGCTGTGTGCCAGCTGCTTCCTTTCTGCCCCCACGACGTAGTGATTCTTCTCGAAGGCGTGTTCCAGCCTTAGAAGCTGGGATGGGGAGAAGGCGGTTCGGATCCGCTTAGGTTTTCGGGCTAGCGCGTTGTGCAAAAGGAAACTCTCGGGACTTGTGTCGTTCCCTGCAGGGGGCACAGTATAAGTGCCATTAGGGGGCCCATCTGGCCGGAGCCGCACTTCTCCCGAGCCGGGCTGGCCTGCATCGCGCTCAGGGCCGCCGCCTAATCCGAGCCGCCGGACCCGCCAGGGCTGGTGGTCCTCCTCCTCGGTCCCACGAAGGGGAAGCCGGCCCAGCTACCATACTTGGACCGTCACAGATCCACCTGTGAGGGACTCAGCCCTCAGCTGCTCTGGCGAAGCCCAGTCCCCAGGCTGAGGACCTCTACGCACCCGAGCTCCGCTGTCGCTTTGGCGCTGCGGGCCCCGCCATCTCTCCATGAGTGCCCGGGGTAGGGGAAGTGGTGGTGGAACCCGGTTGCGAGATTAGTGCGTATTACCCAAAGAAATGGCTCTCTTCGACCTCTCAGAGAACTTTGACCCCAGGCCGCTACGCAAAGTTTTCTCGCGAATTTTTTTAAAAAATGTTTGTCTTGCTACCCCGTGGAGAACGTAGAGGACAGGTGAGTCGTTGCAACCAGACCGAGACAAAAACCTTGCAGCGGGTGTGTAGGCTTCTACCGCTGCTGCCTCGGAGGACCCGGTTCCAGAGAACTAGGAGGAAGCCGAAAGCGGAGGGATCGAAACTCAGGGGCCACCGAGTCACGCGCGTCCCCTCGGCTGATCTGAAGCAGAGACGGTACCAGCCGCTCCAGATCCGGTGGGGCAGCCGGCAACGCGGCTGGCAGAAAATGCGCGAGGGAAGTCCTAAACTTTGAGAAAAAGCCCCTGTTTCGGGTTGGCTTATTGCAGTAAGAAATCGGTTTGCCAAAAGCTCAAACAAAGAAAAACAAACTGACAACCAGGCGGGAATAGAGGCAAATTCAGTTCAAGAATAAGGGCAAAGGGGCTGGGGGCTTGCGGGTTTTTTTTTTTTTAATTATAAGAAAAGAAATGATGACATCTTTTCGATTCTAAACTCAAGCAGGAATGCAAAGGGTTAATCTATGGATCGGTCTCTGGGTATTGATCTGCTGGCGAAGGGTTTTTTTTTTTTTTTTTTTTTTAAACGGACTAGGATCCGGATCCGTAAACTAATTACCCCTTCCCAGTAAGTTTTGACTTTCCTGCCAACTCCCACCCAGAGAAAAACAAATTTTAAAAATATCTAGAAATGAAGACACCCAAACAGATCTTTCCCTTCCAGGTCGTCTCTCGATCCGGTTCATTTCCTTTAAAAGGAAGAAAAGCAAAAACCAGACTGAACCTGCCTTCCCGCCGTGGCTGCTCGCGCACCAATTAAGCAGGTCGCGGCGAGAGCCCCGGAGTTTTCAGCCCCGCCGGTTACGGCCCCTCTCCAGGCCTCCAAAAAACAGGGGGAGGAAATATTTTGTCTGAAGGTCCCGAGAGAACCGTCGCTTCAAGTCGCAGACGGAGGAGACGCCGGCCGAAGGGGCGTGGGTGGTGGCAAACGAGTCCAGTCGGAGGGAATCTGGCGGCCAGGCCCTGCCCGCGCCTCTCCGAGCGAGCGGAGCTGACACCGGGGACGCTACCGAGGGAACCGCGCGTGCAGGGACCCCGAGAGCTCTGGGTTGCCTGAGCGTGGACCCGCAGAGCTGCTGTCCCAGGCTGCCCCGACCCGGGCGAACTCAGGAACAACTTGGTCCGCGTCCCTTCCCCAAAGGTCAGTCGGCAGGCAGCCCAGCACCCTAAACCAGCCTTGGCTTCAGAGGGTGGGGATCAGCACCACCCCGCCCCTGGCTGCCCAGCTCCGAGCCAGGCGCCCGGGCCCGCGCATCCGAGGAACCTCGGCCAGGCCTCGCCAGGCGCCCACCCGAGCAGGCCGGGCGCAGCGGAGGATGCGGCGGGAGCGGCGCGCTGCGGTCCCGCGACGTGGCACGTACCTTGGAAGCGGTGACCCAGATATCGGTATCGGTGGATGAGCCAGGGGTAAAAGGTGGACGGGTCCCGCTGCTGCGAGGCGAAGAGGGGGTGTGGCGAATGCGAGGAGGGCAGGGGGTGGGCGGCCAGGGCGTGCGGCGGCGGCACCGGGTGCACGGGCACGGCCGGGTTGGGTGGGTGCGAGACCGCCTCGGCGAACACCAAGTCCGGGTTGGAGTAGACGCCCCTGCCCGCGGCGGCGGCAGCGGCGGCCGAGTGGAAGCCGTTGAGGAACGGATTTATGGGGCTGGAGTTGGCGTAGCTAAGTGCCGCGGGACGGATGGGGTCCTCGGAGCGCGAGGCGGGCAGGGGACTGTCCTTGGCCACCAGCGACTCGATGGTGAAGCAGCGCTTGGGCGCCGGCTGGAACATGCTGCGCCGAGGAGCGGGCGCCTGGGCTCCCTGCTCCCGGCGACCGCGGCGCGCTGCCTCCGCCGCCCGCTGCCCGCGGCGAGGACCGATGAGAATTGGGGACTCGTTTGTTGGGGGTGGGGGTGGGGGGAGGAAAGGAAGAAAGAAAGGAAAGGAAAAAGGAAAGGAGGGGGGAGGGGGAAAGAAGCAAAGCCGAGGATCCCGAGAATCTTGCACCAAACGCGCCCAACCTGGAGAGAGGGGGGAAAAAATCCTTCCAGAAGAATTTGCAGGCGTGGATTGGGGTAATTTTTTTTTCGAGATGGCGTGGGGGGGGGCTCAGAGTTAGAGGCAGAAGGGGGGGCAAAGTTTCTCGGGGGAGGCAAAAAAAGTTTTCTCTCCTCTGCAAAAGGCGGGCAGGGCGCCCTAAGTCCAAGGACAATCCATGGAAGTGTTCGCTTCTTCACAAGTTGTGCAAACGATTTGTTAGTTCATGAGCCTAATTAGTGCGGGGATCACATAAACAGCTTCCTCCGAAGCCTGGTAAATGGCTTGATGATTGGTCGCTATTACTCGCCCTGAGGTGGAAGGGGGGAGACTCTTTAAAGTGCGTCAGAGGGAGGCGAGCGCCTGGGAACCCGGAGGCCTGGATCCCGGCCGAGAGTGGAACGGAGTCGGCGCCGCCGGCCCGACTGAGCCTCCCGCCGCCCGCCCGGCCGCCAGACCCCAGCGCGCCTTCGCCCCGCGCCCCGAGTTCTCTAGCTCCGGCGGCGCCCGCTGCGGCTTCTCTCCTCCTCTTTGGCCTCCTCCTCTTCCTCCGGGTTCTTCTCCTCCTCCTCTTCCTCCTCTCCTCCTTCCTTCCTCCCTCCTCCTCTTTCCCCTCCTCCTCCTCCCCCTCAGCCACCGCCTCCTCCTCTACCAGCACCACTCCCTCCGGGGCACCAGGGTCCCTGCAGATTCCCCGGCCCGAGCCGCCTCGCTGCGGCCCCCCGCACCCCGAGCCTGCTACGCGGGAGCCCGCAGGACACGCAGACACGCGGCTTCCTCTCGCGCAGCGCTCGACCGCTGCCGCCCGCCCCGGCCCGCGTCGGTGGAGCCACGATCGCCCCGGGAGTTCTGCGAGGGTAAGCGGGCGGGACTGCTCCCGGCGAGGGCTAAAGGCTCCGTTAGCTCGACCCAGTCCCCACCCAGCAAAACTGCACTGCCCCAGCGCCGGTCGCATGGAGGTGGGTGTCTGCGTGCTCGCAATCTTCCACCGGCTGGTTCTTTCACGAGTTGAGACCCGGGCTTCCAAACCTGCGGGGGGCGGTGGGCTTCCAGCTCACACCCGCCCTCTGTACAGTCTCCCACTTTTTCTGTCTAGGAGGGTGCTCGCCTTGTTCCCTAAGACACTTCCTTGAGGGATACTGGGACCACGGTCCACGGTCGGGGGAGGGGGAGGAGCTGATGCGGTGCTGTTGTTATTTTTTCGTTGTCGCTATTATTTGTGCCAGTGCTGACAGTATTACTATTATTGCTACTCTTGCTATTATTATTATTATTATTATTATTATTATTTCTATTATTATTCTGCCATCTGTTGTCCCAGGACTGGGTTGCTGTGCAAATCCAGGACTCATAACTAGAGACTGCAGATCACGTCTCCGGTTCCGAGCCGTGTCCGCATTTTCGAGCTCGCCTTGGGTTTTGGGATGATTTTAGGGCCGAGTTCTCTCGTCCCCATTGGCTCGTGCTGCGGTATAATTATGATCACATCCCCCGGGCTGCTGGCGCTACTCTCTGTTTATTGGTGGTTAAAGACCCATTATCTATTCATCAGCCGCCTCTTTTTTTCCTTTTTCCCCCTTTTGCCAATTACATTCTTATAAAGTGAAGCACCAGCAGGTATTTTGCACGCTTGCAATTAATAATAAAAATGCTGGTGTCTTTTAAATCTATTACTCCCAGGCCCGTGTCATTTATTTTAAGGAGGAAGAAATGCCTGTATTTGGTGGCTAGGTTGCTGTGAGACCCAGGAGAAATCAATCCGGAGGGAGTAAAAGTGAAGTCCCCAGAAGGGAAGCTACAACCAACCCCACCAGACTTAGGACACGATCCAGGGCCTCCCAGCGACCCCACTGCTTGCCCTCTAGTCTTCTTTATCTCCCCTGGTCTCATCTGCTGCTGAGTATTTGCTTCTATCAATTTCTTGACTTTATTCCAGGTGCTATAGAGTATTGTGGTGAGGTGGAGGAGATGACCAGAAACACCTCTGAGAAACCTACACACACACACACTTACTGTGGAGACCCTGTGGGTCTCAGCTTTGGCCTCACCTTGGGAGAAATTGGCCCTTGTCTCATATTTTGGACCTCTGTACCATCAGCTGCCGCTGGGGTCCTAGTTGGGTTTTCACCCTTAGTTCCAGATGGCAGGCTTTGATTCCTTTTTTTCCCAAACCTGAAGATTGCGTCCAGCATCTTGTAGTGGAGGTGAGTTCACTCTCCTCAGGCCTAGACCATCATCCCCCCTATTACTGTCTCCAGCTCAGCCGTGCTCCCTGCACTAGGCTGTGAAAACACAGGCACCACTGCCCCATACCGCCCGACAAGGAGCCTTGAAGTTCTGTGAACAGGGGAGGTCTTTAGGCCAGGAAGCTCTGGTAGAGGTAGTAGTTAGTCAGCGCTAGAGCTTCTGAAGCTGGAAACAAACACCCAGTCCAGTCTGGGCAGATGGCAAACAGGATCCTGAGGTAAGGGAGCAAGGCCACTTTCACTGTGTGACTCTCTGTAGGACTAGAGGGTAGAGCCAGGCCTCTGTTGTCAGCCTCCAGTGATCCCAGCCAGAGCTACTAAAAGCCCACACCACAAAGGGGCAAGGAATGGACATTTATTGCAGGGTTAGCTTTAGTGATCTTGGCTGGCAATATAAAAGTCATTGACCTTGAGGGCAAGGGGAACGAAGCCCTGTCTGGGAGAGTGTGAGAGACCCCAGTGGTGTACATATATAAAGGGGCTTCCCTTCTTTTAAAACATTCAGCCCTTAAGATGTGATCAGTACCCTTTTACCCTTCACCTCTTTGGCCAGGACACCAGGCAAGTGTCCTGAGAGTGAGGTGGTAACTGGACCTCTCAACCTCTTGCCCTAGGGGGAAAATTTTGGCAGAGCAGAGGAGGCCCTGAGCTCTCATCAAAGGCTGAGTTGGGTCCCCTGGCATCCTCCACAAACTGCCCTTTAAAGGCCAGAATTGCTCTAGGTCTTTGGGGGGGAGATGCTGACAGGCAGGTAGGCCAGAGCAAAAGAGGAGCCCACCTTTTTGAAAGAAGCAAGGCAAGCCAGTTCCTCGGCTTCAAGTTCCTTTGAAACCACCACACACACACACACACACACACACAAGCAGTGCGCAAGCCCCTTCAAAGCAAAGAAGTGGAATTCTGAGGAATCAGGAGTGGTGCCGTGGCCCTGGAAGCTGGGAAATCTATAGTAATTCTGGCGCCCTGATTCCGTTGCCCGGGAAGGTTTTCGCCACCGGGTGCTGCTGGCCCCGACGTGCACAGACATTAACTAACACAGTAACTCATTAACCACACTGGCCAGAGGACGCTGGACGATCAGGGTTGGACTCAGACCCTGAGCTCTCAGATCATGAGGCTGCCGCTCCTCATTTCACTTGTGGTTTCAGGCCTTGCAGAACGCAACCCTCTTTTGTTCCTAAGCTGCCCAGAGAGTGGATATTTGGTTAACTGTCTGTACCCACGATGGATCTTCTTCCCTTCCGAGGTGTGCGCCCCAAAATGCTGTGGATTAAGCTCTGCAGACTCAGGAATCTACACTCCGCAGACAGCTGAATGTGCACACCTTTGACAGTTCCAGTGGGATCTTTCATTTACTGGAGAACTTGGGGCAACACCACCATCTCTCCGACCTTATTTTGTCATGTGCAGAAATGCAGCCAATGTTGCCTGAGAAGCTGGAGAGGGTAGCAGTGATATTGTTAGGACGGAGGCGTAATAGAACTATTTGACTTTTTCATTTTGAAACTCATGGAACTATATGTACAGTACAAAGTGTGAATTTTGATGTGTGTAATTGTATTTTAATAAAACTATCCCCCTTTTAAAAACAGCAGAGGCTTGGATTCAAAGCTTTACTATGTGGTCTTGGTAAAGTTACTTAATCTCCTTGTGCCTCTGTTTTTCTTCCCTCAAATGGGAATAAAGTCATAGAATGTCGGTCCCGGAGTTATGTAATGAGAAATGCTAAAGTGTTCAGACAACGTCTGGCACATAATGAACTTCAGTAAAAGCTCTCCTGGACGTAGCTGTTATTATCTACCCACACAGGGCAAAATGCTAGCCCTCAAAGACTGAACAATAAAGCTGAACAAACGAGCTAATGCTGGTCTCACACTTACACCACAGGCCTCCATGCTCCAGCAGAAGCCACGAACTTCCCTTAGAAGGTGCTGGGATGAGAGAGCCCTGGAGTCCTAGCTCTCTAAAGGGCAAGGATTCGGGAGCTCTGAGCACCATTAACTCTGAGTTTGTCTGGCCCTTGCACTTTGGAGGAGCAACTGGCCCGAAATTCCCTTCCCGTCCCAGGTCCCTTGCTAGCTTTTGCCTTGTCTGGAATGGCTGCTGACAAGGGATACACAGAAGTCCTCTGGGGTCAGTTTTTTCCAACCATGGCTGTCACTTCCAAAGAAACAAAGTATCAATATCTTAAAGGTTGTGGAAAGGAATGGGTGAGCTTGGGATTAGCGTGGCACACTATTGGCGCTCATTACATTTTAGTTAAAATATTCATTGGCCTAGCCCTGTACACTGTAGCTCACAGGACTTTGCCGTGCCGAGGTCTCCACGTTTGGACCCTGGGAACCTTAGCGTTGAGTCTTCGCTGTGCGTCAGCGGCGCCGCGCGGCAAGCACCAGTGCCAGCTGCCGAGAAGGGTGCGTCCTCTCCAGGCTCTAGGACTAAAGGCGACCAGAGACAGGGAGACAGTTTAAGAAGTCTGCTAACTCACTGTGATTCCCAGTAACTCCGCTGCTCCAAACTCTTAGGGCGCCGATGGGAAAAGAGAAAGCAGAATAAATTCCTTTAAAACATTTTTTAATGTATCACGGCAGATCCTTTTCTGGCGCTCTATCTAGAGGCTTTTCGCCAGGAGGACGCGGCGGCCCTGGGCCCCGATCGGCGTGTGCGCAGCGGCGCCTAGTGGCGAGGGACCCGCGTGGGCGAGATGCCCTAGGAACTCTGAATCCGCGCGCTTAACAAGCGCTGGAGCTGCGCTTCTCTTCCGACACCCTACAGCCCATCTTCCAAGCTGGAGGAGGAAGTCTAAGGAGGCTCCCTGGCTACCGAGAAGAGAGCATGGCGTGGAGATGGACCTGTCCTTCAGCGGTCCTCGCTTTCTGCCCCGCCTTTCCTCCAACAATGCAATCCCAGCGAACTGGGCAGAGGAACAGAGGGGACGAAGGCTGCTTTAAAAAGAATTGCGTGGCTGTGACCACCTAATCCTGATGGATGGGCAGCTACGATGTAGCAGTAACTCCATGCCCGCAGCCCGGGATCCTCCGGCCCAACCA